AAACAGTTTGGGAAACCTTGACGTAATATAATGTTTTTGTTGTTGATGACAACAATAATCTAAAAGTAGTCTGATTATATTACCTAAAATGTGTAATGTAATGGATTACACTAACTACAATTTTTGTCATGTAATTTGGAATCCGTAACAGATTACAATTTGTAAGTAATCTACCCAACTCTGTTGGCTGGTCAATAAAATGTTTAAGGCGGGGCTTATTGAAGACTCAGAAAACAGGCAAGAGAATTTAGTGGAACTGATAAGCTTCTTATCATATTGTTGTTGCTGCCTTATTATAAAAGAAAAAACAACACTCAGTTTCACTCTGTGCCTTAAAGATGCCTTGCCTGAGGGAAAAAAACCCTTGTGGCTCATTTTATACCCGAGACTTTTGTTTCTGTACACATGGAAAGAATAATGAGCAGGACACGGTAAAGAAAGACAGATCATGACCATTAATAATGTAGTCACTGGCAAATGTGTTTCACACCTCCAAAAGTTTGATGACAGGAAAAAAGGTATTATTAAATGTTATGGTCTTAAAATTTGACCTAGAAACAGCAAATGTGCATCACACTCCCTAAATCATCCCTCACACACCCTCATCCTGAGCTGCAGTCACACAGACGTGCTTGCTTGCATGCCATAATTGGAACACACACATAAAGCAGTGCCCCAGGACTGCTGGAGGGAGTGTAGCTCTTTGAGTTAGTGTTCACGTTCATGACGCCCGTGGCTTATGAGTGGGATGAGACTGACAGCTGCTGTTTGTTACACAGCTACAAAGGACAAAAAACTGGGGTGTAATTGCTAGTGTTGCCACCACAGCCATGTATAAACTCGCTTTATACAGTTGTAAAACCAGTTTTAAAGATGCTTAAGTTGTTCTTAATTATATGGTTGCCACAGCTTTTATACAATACGTGTCCATGACTTTCATTTCCTTGTAATTATATATATCTGCTGTATATAAATGATATCCTTATGGCTGCATTTACATTTCATATATATGGGCGCATGTCAACCATTGGGATTAAGATTAATAAGGATTTAGCTTTTTGGGCCAAATAAAACAAAAAAATAAAATGATATATACACATTATATAATGAAATAAAATGGATATAAATTCTACATTTTCATAATAATATTACCATTTATAAAATGTTTATTAATGTCATCATTTTAGAGTTGATATACATTTTGTTTCATAAATAATACTCATTTAATTGAATAGTTTTATAATTTATATTACTATACAATTAATCATGATATAACTTTTTAATTTATATAAATTAAATGATACAAAAAACAACACAGCAAAACAACAACAATACTATTAATATTATCAATAATAATAATAATAATAATAATAATAATAGTTAAAACCCAGGAATTATTTAGCAAATTCCAACAATACGAAAGAAAAAATAAAAAAATTAATTGAATATAGGTTTTGAAAAGACAGGTGTCTTACAGACACTGGTTTGATGTGAAGCATTGTCATCTTATCTATAAATTCTATTTATCTGCACAGCAGGGGTTTGCGTAACACAATGCAAGGACACACCTGTGAAAAGAACGCAGCACCTTTAAATTCAGACTGACACAGTGTTTCTAAAGAGCACTATACGTTATGCAAGGCCATATTATTGTATTGATTTGTACTGCTGTCATAATAACAGTCCATTATAAAAAATTGAAGCTTACAACCTGCATTTATAAATGGCTATAAAGGTCAGACTCTTAAAAAAACAGCATGACATTTGAACTGTAGGTGTTTCTGTTCAAGCACATCTGCATATAATTCATACGGCATTGAAAAGTACATTCAAATGTGTGTTCAAGATAGCAATTATTTACTGAATGAGTAGTTGAAATATGGATCATAAGTGCTAGCTTTTAGGCAAGAGAATTGGGGCCTATGGTCGCCATTTATTTGAATGTGTTTTAAGATAAAATGCTGGTTTATTTTGCAGAGGACTGCTGTTGGCTCACACTCATCTCACCTACTTCTCTGCTTTGACTGCACTGATGGAGCCAATGGAAAGCTCAAGCTGCTCTGCGCCCAGTAAGCTGCCTTTCCTATTGTTAGCTCATACAGATTACTGCAAGCCTTCCTATTGTGCAATGAAGCAAACAGCCAATGGAAAAGAAAAGATTGTTGAATATGAACCAGAGGCAGAGCTTTTCCACTCTAATTTGGCTGCATATTTTGGATTTTAATACTGAAATTTAAGGCTCCATTCAGATGTTTCACCTGATCTCTGAGAAGAACACACTATTATTGTGTTGCTCTTACAGAAATGACGAGTATTGCAGAATTTATCTTCCTACTAACATGATAAATCAAAATATAAAAGCTTTGGATGAATAATAAAAAAAAAAAGCTGTTGTGTGTCATTTTTTTTTAAATAGAGTTGAGAAGAGACATTTATATGCTCAACCTATAGCAAATGTGACACTGGACCACAAAACCAGTCATAAGGGTCAATTTTTCGAAATTGAGTTTTATACATCATATGAATAAATAAGCTTTCCATTGATGTATGGTTTGTTAGGATAGGACAATATTTGGCCGAGATACTATTTGAAAATCTGGAATCTGAGGGTGCAAAAAATCTAAATATTGAGAAAATCGCCTTTAAAGTTGTTCAAATGAAGTTCTTAGCAATGCATATTGCTAATCAAAAATTAAGTTTAAATATATTTACGGTAGGAAATTTACAAAATATCTTCATGGAACATGATCTTTACTTAATATCCTAATGATTTTTGGCATAAAAGAAAAATCTATCATTTTGACCCATACAATGTATTTTTGGCTATTCCTACAAATATACCCCAGCGACTTAAGACTGTTTTTTTGGTCCAGGGTCACAAATAATGAAAAAATGTCAAATAATGAAAGGTTTAATGAAACCTATTTAGAAAACTTCAATTATTCATTGCAATAAATAAATTATTTAAGGATAAACCTCTTAAGATGAACCATCTCGTTATTGTTTATTATTTTTTTTATTGAAATAATTTCACTGAAAAAATTGTCTTTGATGCCACTAATGGTGCAGAAATAATACAGCTTTAAAATGTGAGAAATGTTGAACATGCTGAAATGATTTTTTTCCTTTTGTGTCTGCTAATAAAAAAAAAGCATTATGAAATAAGCATGTTGAAACAAGTCTAAAACAATCACCATCATTTATTTACAATATATTAAACTGTAATGCAAAATTATTACTTATCAAGTGGTCATTTATTCAATAAAGAAAATAAACATTAGCTATTTTGAAAGCTAGAATGAATCATACAGATATTTATATATTTTTATATTAATGTGTACAGCCAGCAAACGTTATGCATCTTGTTGCCACGTGTTTTAATTCGCCAGAAACCTCATAAAATGCTCATTTTTCATATTAAAATCAATATTGACTGCATAGAAAAGAGGATAAAGTGGTTGACCTTTGCAGAGGGTCTATAAAACCATGTAAAATACACACGCGGTCTCCCTTTAAAAATCAAAGATAAGCAATGACATCCTTTCATTGCTATTTCATACGCTGTTGCTTTATATTTTGCCAGCTTCGCTCAATCCATCAATGCTAGATCATAAATACTACAATGAAAGCAGAACAACAAAACAACAGAAGGCAACAATGGAAATCGGAGGGGTGCGTGTCCGTACAGGTTCAAGTGAGTCTCAAAGTCATTAGGTAAGGCCAAAAATACTGATGAATCCAATGTGACGACATGCCGCAGGGAAGCTGGGATTTCACAGTATCGGTTCTGTCAAACGTCTCTATCTCGTGCTTCTGGTTGCATCACATCAGCGCAAAAAGCAACTTTGAAGCTGTTTATCCAGCATCGGTGGAGTTGGATGATAAATGACCACAATGCCCCATATAGCCAAGAATATGGGCGTTCCCTTGGGAAAGCCAGACATCTATGATAACCAAAACAAAAAAGCCTGAGAACAACAACAACAACCACAACAAAAAAGTGTGGGGAAAAAACCGCTGAGCCATACAACGTCTACTATGAGCAAGCACCTAGTCAATTCAGTCAAAACAGAACAAGACAGGCATATTATGGAGGGAAAAAAAGAAGAAAAAAAAAAGGTTTGAGAGTCCAAACCTGAACATCCTGAAACGCTACCCTCTTCTCATATCATTGACCTGATCGCTTTTTTTTCCTCTCCACATAAAACATAGTGAAGATCGAGAGGAGAAATGGACTTCCTTCTCTTACTCGAGCAAAAGACATGAATCCTTCACCATATGAAAGTGAAGATGGAGAGGAAGGTGGTCTTAAATCAATCCCACCTCGACTCAAGTCAAGAACGAAAAACTAATATGCGCACATACCTAAAACAATGCTGCTTTTTTTTTTTTTTTGGTAATACAATACTTTCTTTGCCTTTTTCCTCTTGGTTTTATTTTCTTTTAAATCTAGCACAACAGAAAAATCCAGCAATTTCAAGTTTACACGATGCCATGTATCTTTGGCTCAGGCCTGACCATGCAAGAGGCTGTAGCGTGTTGCCTGAAGCAATATCCATTACCGAATCCTGACCAGAGTAAGAATGCAAGCACGGCGTTTAGTAAAGTCACTGCTTACTTAGAAAGGAAGAGGAAGAACGTCAGAAGTAAAAGCACACAAAGAGGAAAGAGTCAACAGTGCTGAGATTCATGATGCTGTACAAACCCCTTAAAGTTTCAAACACAAAGCACATGTGAAATAATACTAATAACAAGTCGTAAGAAATGAGGGGTATATCTTTGCCAGAGTGTGTCCCATCATGCTCCTCTCTCGCTGAAATCCTGGATTCGGGTTCAAGGAAGACACTGATATTAAGTCCTCCTTTTTATGAACGTGAGTGCAGGTGAATGTGTGCGCGGGGGGTGGCTACGCGGTGGTCTCGCCATCGCTGTCGTTCAGGTAGCTGCTGCGTTTGTAGCTGGAGCGGTAGGTGCTTCGGCCCGTGCTCCCTTCCTCTTTGTCTTCTTCCTCTTCCTCGTCAGATCTGTCAAGGCAGAAGCGTCTGCGACTGGAGGATGGGCTGGAGGGGGAGATAGAGAAGCTTTGATTAGGATCAGCGTGTGGAAAGAGAGACCAAAGAGGATAATCTCTGAAGGAATGTTGGGTTATCAAATTTCTAAATGTGGGGTAACAATATTTAACAGGCCCTATAATTCAGTATCATCTTTGGTGACGCATTAGAGGTGCAGCCACACAAATCACATGCAAATCAGTGCTCTTAAACATCACCTTATCGGATAATTGTTAGTGAAGTTGTACAAGCAAACAGCAAAAAATTCTACACTATTTTGTCTAAATAAATTAAAAAGTTAAACACATAAATACTTAAATCAATCATTTTGAATGCTACAAGTGAATTTAAGCATCACAACATTATGTACAAGATGAAAAATGGATAATCATTTTGTGATTTGCTAAAGATTACATTTAACAGTGGTAAATTGAATTGTTAAAATTATATTAGTTAAATTACTAGAGTTTTGAAGATTAACTTTAAAGGGTTAGTTCACCCAAAAATGAAAATTAGACTGTGTTTTACTCACCCTCGAGGCATCCTAGGTATATATGACTTTCTTCTTTCAGATGAATCCAGTCAGAGTTATATTAAAAATTGTCCTGGCTATTCCAAGCTCTATCATTGCAGTCAGCGGGTGTTGCATAACTTTGTATATACTTGTATACAATATACATTGTATAACTCCGACTGGATTTGTCTGAAAGAAGAAAGTCATATACACCTAGGATGCCTCGAGGGTGAGTAAAACACGGTCTAATTTTCATTTTTGGGTGAACTAACCCAAACCTAAGTAAGAATTAGATGACAAATCAAAAGTACAAATGGGGGAATTTACCATGAACAATTAAAGGGTTAGATCACCCAAAAAATTAAAATTCTGTCATTAATTACTCACCCTCATGTTTTTCAAAACGCGTAAGACTTTCGTTCATCTTTGTAACACAAATTAAGATATTTTTGATGAAATTTGAGAGCTTTCTGACCCTGCATAGACAGCAACGCAACTACCACATTCAAGGCCCAGAAAGGTAGTAAGGACCATCATTAAAATAGTCCATGTTACATCAGTGGTTCAACCGTAATTTTATGAAGCTACTTCTTGTGTGCAAAAAAAAAAAAATACCATGACGCATGCATTCTGACATAGAACGTCCATCTCTCTTAGTTCCTCGACTGTATATTCTGGTTTAAGTAAGTAAGGCTCTCTGCTGAAATCTTCAGACATGTTACGAAGACAGTTTTATGTAGAGCGTGCGTTTTCCTCTTATTGTAAACAAGGCACAGCACATCCGGGTTCTACGTCAGAACGGCGGAGGCTAATTTTTGAAATTTGAATTTTTGTTTTCTTTGCACACAAAAATTATTCTCGTAGCTTCATAAAATTGTGGTTGAACCACTGATGTCACATGGACTGTTTTAAGGATGTCCTTACTACCTTTCTGGGCCTTGAATTTGGTAGTTCAGTTGCTGTTTATGCAGAGTCAGAAAGCTCTCAGATTTCATAAAAATATCTTAATTTGTGTTCCGAAAATGAACAAAGGTCTTATGGGTTTGGAACGACATGAGGGAGAGTAATTAATGACAGAATTTTCATTTTTGGGTGAACTATCCCTTTAAACATCCAGTATAATAACTAATAACTAATTTCTACTGATAACTGATATAGCAGCAATATATTACTAGTATTGATTTAGGTGCCATCGCAGTCAAGCCTCTTGCCGTTTGACTATACACAGTCAAGCCAGTACAGAGTTGAATACAAATAAAATGATGTATTATAAAAAAATCCCTTGCTAAAAAATCTATGGTCCATTTTAAACAACTTGAAATATTCTTGATGTCTACTCATAATCTTATCAGTGAATTAACATATAAATGAACTGTGTCCTCTAATTATACAAAAGCGAACAGACCGATGTAGAGAAAGCATGAATACCTCACCCTCTTCCAAAAGTCAACGATAACTTTTCGTGTCACTGAGTCTTATCTTCTCTTTGTCATAATAATACAAACTTCAGGTTAATTGCTGGCAAGCAGTCATAATCGATTTTCTGTTTAATTATGTCCAAGACCAAAGAAAGAATTTCAAACTAACTTTAGTTACACTGTTATTTGGAGATACTACATCACAAAGACATTTCAATGAATGATATAGAGCAGTGGTTCTCAACAAGGAGGCTTCAGAAAACTTCTACGGGGCCCCAATAAGTCTTAAATCATATAAGTTTAGTTATTTAGAGCTACAGAGCTACATATCAGCTTAGATAGGAGGGTCTTTAAGTAAAAAAGGTAGAGAACTACTGATAAAAAAACTACAAAAAAATCACTCAAAAATGTGTGTGAGTAACAAAGTGAATCAACACAGTGTAAAGAAAAACTGAAAATAGAGAGTAAAGTTATGGTAAAACGCAATGAATGATATCAGACGGTACTGAGGTACTTGAGTATTAGTTTAACACCATGCTTGTTGCATTCCTTCACTCCACACCAGGTATCACCTACTGCCATCTTTAGTCACTGTCAGGCCTGTACAGGTACTTCATCATAAGATTGTCTACTTTCTTCTTCCTCTTCTTCTCTTTCTTAGACACGGGGGGAGTTCCTTCAGAGGGGCCTTCGGGCTCCAGCTCTTCCTCAGAGCCTGAGGCCTGCCTGCCAGGGGCTTTCTTGATACTGCTGGAGCTTCTGTAAGAAATAGTGGACGCTCCTGAACTGGAGTCCGACTCTGTGCTAGACTCAGACTCCGAGGATGAGGAAGACGACGAAGACTCTTTCTTGGACTTCTTCTTGGACTTCTTCCTCTTCTTCTTGGAGCTCTTCTTCTTGCGGTCATCGTCAGAGCTGTCTGATTCTGAGCTGTGGCTTCTCTTCTTCTTCTTCTTCTTGCTCTTGCCCTTCTTGCTGCGGGAGCTGAGGCTACTGCTGGAACGCATGAAGTCCACGGCTGAAGCAGAGCGGCGCAAGCTGGAAGAGCGGCCACTGTCTCTGCTGATCCTGGAGCTGCTGACGCTCATCCGGTCATCCTCCTCTTCACCTTGCTTATCTTTCTCCGCTTCAGACTCTTCCAAGCTGGTGCGCTTGAACTTGATAGGTTTGAAGCTTAACACTTCATTAATTGCGGCCTCCAGGTCAGGGTCCAGGTAGTTGCGGTGACTGACCGGCTTGACGTCCGAGATGTCAGGCGGGCTGGAGTCAGTGGTCCGGGCTTGCGGAGGCATGGAGAAGCTTCGGCCGGAGGTGGAGTGAGGGCTGTAAGCACTGGAGCGAGCCTCGCTGAATGCTGTGCTTCGGGCATCATCGTCCATGTCAAATTCACTGAGGTGACAGCTGCGAGACAGCGACATGCGGGAGTCGGCACGGCTCACGCTTCCTGGGCTGCGCCGACTCAGGCTGGGGCTGATGGGTGAACCGTATTCATTCTGGCGATCATCAAGACGAGGCATGCTCAGACGCCGGCTTACTGAACTCATGCGACTCACACTGGAAATAGCATCATCATCTAGGTCCATCGCAGTACGGCAGGTGGAAACCCGGCTCGGGGCTACAGAGGACACAACGGACTCCTTATCAAACTCAGACCAGCGGCTGTCCATGCCCTTCCTTGCCCGACTAGCCGCTTCCGAGTAGGCCTGAGAGATGACAGAACCGTGATCGTCAAGATCATCTCCTGCCTTCCTCCAGGAGTTGACAGAATAGGAGTCATCCTCAGCTTCCTGCTTGGCTTTGTTCTTGCGGAAGGAGGAGAGGTCCTGGGAATCAGATTGTTCTTTGAGGGTGTTGAGGAGCGAACTTTCGTCTCCCTTACCTCCTATGGAGTCCTTCATGTTGGAGCGTTTCCTGTAGCTGAGGGAACTCATGACAGACACAGGCCTGCTGTGTTCTAACTCTTTACCTTTGCCACTGTCTTTCCTTTCTTTACCCTCTTCCCACTCTTTTCCCTCCTTTCTGTCAACATTTACAGCAAATCTAGATGAAGAAGGGGCAGACGGGGTGTGCACAGAGTAGAAAGACAAACAGATGGAGGGAGGAGAGGATAGAGTTGGAAATATGAGAATGAGAATGAGAAAATACATGAATAAAAAATTTAAAGATGACTGCCACCCAAAGAGATGTGACAGCAGGGAATACAAGGCACTTAAGGAAGACTCTTAAGCTTCTGTGATTCAAAATCAATAGTTAATCCATAAGCTCAGGTATCTACATTTAAATGTGGACAAAAATATCCTTTTAGGTGGACATGTTTCAGGTAATTGCATAAAAACGGATACTGACAAAGACTATAATTCCCTTTACAGGATGATTTATGCTAGAAAATGTTAATAAAAAATTACAGACTGTAATCTGTAACCAATTTCCCATAAAACTGCACCTTACAGAAACTATGCATCAAAAGTTCAAGGTGTCTGCCGGTGGGAAGACATATTCATCTTCAGCAGAAAGGCATAGGTTGGCTTCCCAACTGGCCAGTGGGCATATCCATTAATCTGCCTGTGAAGCCGTTCCCTTTTATATAAGCCTCTGTTATCAAACTGCTGACAATGGGGAGAATAAACTAGAAAATACCAACAGAAAAATCCCTTAGCGTTAGCTAATTAGCTTTTCCAGACACCCTTTTCTAGCTTGCTGCATTGGGTTTGGGTTAAACCATTCTGTGGGGTAACAGGGGGAAATGAGGTTGCAGGACTGACCTTGAGCTCTTCAGACTACCATCATCTGACAGGTTCTTGGCAGAGCCCTTGTTTTTGGACAGCCATGACTTCACCCCGTCAACGCGGCCCTCCACCTCAGAGTCGGTATCAGAGGCGCCCTCGCTGTGCAGAAGGAAGAGAGGGAATGTCAACAAAATGAACAAGCAGAGTTTGTACATAAATACTGTTAGTAGGAGGAACACAGGGATTTGCGGTGGAGACACAACAGTACGGAAACATGCGCCCGCACTCTAGAAACCTGGAAAAAGCCTATGTGTTAGTAAGTCAGACTCATAGTCCAACAACAGTATCCTGCAGCTAGCTGGCTTTGTTTAATGTGTGAAGCATCCAAAAGGGTGAGGTCAGTACAACTCCAAGCCAAACCAGAAGAAAGGAGAGCATTTAAAAGAGAAAAAACATTCAGACTGTAGCTTACCAGACAATAGCTCTGTTCTAAAATCTAGCTGGCTGCCTGCGGAGGCAGCATTTTAAGGGATCATTAACATGCTCCTGATTTTAGGTGTACCTATGTAGGCAGTAGGCGGCTAACTAGCCATTGAAACAGCTAAATAAAAATACTGTGATGCATAGTTAAATAAAAGCTGAATTAGGAATTATAGGTAGTACAAAGCTTGTGAAAAATCCTCCTTCATAAAAAGAAGGCCTTCAGGCTAATTTAGCCTTGGACTACCATGTTAAAGGACAGTATGAAGGAACGGGCCATTTTTGGACTGCAATTAACTTGACTCACTATGCTACCAATACCATGCATCTCTGGATACGAATGGGTTTTGTGGGGAAGTGTTGCGCTGTCAATAAGAACGAGTAAACACAGGCCGAATGTCCCTGGGAGCAGATGCATTAGCACCTCACACAGAAAGCAGCACTGTGAATCCCAGTCCTGTTTGCTCATTTCTCTGGACCAGATAAAACCATTGGATTTATGTTTGGCTGGATTTGCAAGTCAATGCTTCCCTGCCTCTTTAGATTAGTCTTATCATTCACTTATCGCACAGCACACCGTACTGAATAACTATGAATCGCCCTTCAAGGACCTAGAGCGCTAAAACGTCTCCATATATGCACAGACAGGAGACCTTTAAAGAAGATTTCTTTCGAACTGGGCCTTTTCTCACAATTTTGTTTCAATTTAAATTTTAATAATCATTGTTATTGTCCTCCAGCACCGTTGGAGTCAAATATCTCCCAATGAAATTATACTACATACAGTAGCTCATTATTCCAGGCGTAGAGAGAAGGTTAACTCTAATGTCAGAGAAAAGCAGCTGCTGCTTCAGAGTTCCGGACTGCTTAGCTCTCCGTTTGTGGTATTATGCATATGAGAATATTATATATGCATGGACCCACGAGACAGCGCAGATGTCGCTAAACACTAACTGTACGCTCACAGTCAGGGTGCTAGAGAGGGTCTAAATTAGAAGATCTGATACACTCAAGAGAAAACACTCAGGACAAAAGAATTTGTTGTCAAACGAGTAGCACTCCGTCGATACGGGCAGGCAACTTACGAGTGCCAAAGTATGTATTTCTTCAAGAGCCCTTTTGGCTCTTGCATAAGCCCTAGTGCCCTGGAGGTAAACCGAGGTGAGAACGTTGTGTGAATAAGCCTTGAGCTCTGCTAGCCGGCCCATCGCTAAACAGTGGGACTGCAGGGTCTTTGTAATGAAGCGCTAATGCAAAATGTCACACACAATTTATGTCCTTGACCATATACCATTAGTTAAGCTGCACCTAAGCCCAGGGGAACAAACAAACAACACAGTGAGAGAGGAGAGACATTAATTGTCTGTGACAACGTGCCTCCATTGGTTGTACATCTCTGTTACAGGCTATTACATTTATCATTAGTACCTACAGAACTCTCTCAACCCCTCTATTTTCCTCTCTAGTCCGTCTCTCTACTCTGTTTTCTTTCTCTATCCCCGCGCGCCCTCCTGCCCTGACCCTTTAAACGGGGAGAATTTGGACTTTTATATTGTGCAACAGTTTCCTGGCTTTGTCTCTGACAATTTCTTTAATTGTATATGAACTCAAAACATGTCTAACATCTGTCTAAACATGAAATAACTGAGGGAAAAAGGAATAGTTCCTAAAAAATTAAAGCTATGGTTATTATTTACCCTCATGTAATTCCAAACCAACATGACTATCTTCTGTGAAATTCAAATAATTACATTTTTCAAAACCACAAATACAAAGAATGGGAACTGGGGCTGTTAAGCTGCAAAATGACAAAAAAGAACAATAAAAGTGTCATAACATATAACAAATACAACTTGGGTACAATATTCTAAGTCTTTTGAAATCATGATAGCTTTGTTTGATTAACAGACAGCATGGACTACTACCGTTTTATTATACTTTTACTATGCTTTTGTGTCCTTTCTGAAAAATACTAATGCAAAATTAACAATACTTAAAATTTATGTGACTAATTGCAATTAATTTAATTAACCACTTAATGATTCAATTATTAAATCGATTGAGAGCTGTACTTGAATATTTATTAACAATGTGAATAACATTTCTCTTCATGCCAAATGCCTCTTTACATGCATGTCTGCATTGTATCTAAACCAGGATTATCGTTATCTAAAACTAAAACTATGAAAAACATTTTTGTTAATTGAAATATAGCTGAAAATAAAATATAAATATTATATGAAAAGGTTAAACTAAACAGAAATTTAAAATGTAACTGAAAAAAGTTCAAGTTGAAAAATAAAAACTAAAATAAAAATAAACTAACCTAAATATAAAAAAATGACAAAAGCACATAAAATGTAACTAAAAATAAAATGAAAACTAAAAATATGAAATAAAAGCGAATTCAAAATATGAATAAAACCTTCAGTAGTATATATAATGCTAAAATAACACTGACACACTAAAAACTCTTATTCAGTTAGAATGTAATTAGGTGCATCTACTCTGCACGTTATAGTTTTAATGTTTTATGATTCATTTATGTTCCGGCACTTATAGTTAGTCACTAAGACACTGAATTTTCCCGTCACTGATTAACCAGAAAATCTTCATAAATATTTCAAATCATTCATGATATATTGTAAACACAATTTTTAAATCATGTCACGGAGTAGAATATACGCTCATGAAAGGGGCAGAGGAACAGTGCTCCTAATTATATCTCATTTCAAAATATCTGTTCTCCTCATTTGTTATGCCCTGTCTATTCTCTCATATGCTCTGGGAAAATCAGAATAATCAGTTCTCTACTAATGTTCTCCACTAAGGTTTGTATTTAGCTAACAAACCTCTTGAAGCCAGTCTAATTTACAATAAAGCAACAAGAACTCCCCAATTAAATGATCAGGCCAGAAGGGTCAACATCCCTGCATGAACTCAAACAAACATTTCTGCAATGGCACATCCATCTAAACCTGATCAGTAATGCACAGACTGGCCATTAGCTTTTAATACTTTCTCACATGATGTAATAAGTGGTGCTTAGAGCTTAAGGGTTTTTAAAACTGGAAAACGCTCTAAGTGGCATACAGTGCGGACCGAGGACTATTGACAGGGGAATGAAATGGCTCGACGCCAAGAGCTGGTACTTTGTTGTAGGCCGTTGCCAGATGAGTTGGGGGGCTTTTTGTAGGACATTTGAGGGTTATTCATTATTTAGCCCTCATGGTTGAAAGATTGATGAGGAACCTGCCTTCCTTTCCTGCCTTAAGAGGCTGCTAAGTCCCAAGAACAGAAGTGTGAATTATTCAAAGGAACGAGAGAGAGAAAGAGAGGTAAAAGAAGGCCAAGAAGGAGGGAGGGCAGAGCAACCCCTCGCAGATGTTTGTACAAGGCCCTGCAGCGTCCAACAAGTCTGCATGTGGACCCTTCTGGCTCTCGAGTTAGACAGCCAGGGGATAGACCACAGTTTGGACCCTGCGGACATGTAACTAACACCTGCCTGCTCTCAAAATGGTTCTTACCCGTCAATGGACGCCAGTCCCAATGATGAAGCACCAGATATCCAAAAGTTCAACATCACAAAGCAGGGGTTCAGGGAAAGGGAATCGTCTCTGGGGAGGGTAACTGAGTAGGGACCATGCTTGGCTTAGAAAAAGCATGCAGTTTGTAGTACGCATACATTATGTATGAGGCATTGTGCATAAAAAAGGAGAAAACCATGTTTGTGATGTTAGTTGGCATGCCCGGAAGTGTGTTGCAGTATCAACATGATGCTTCTAGTCTTTTCTGGAGTCGAAATCGAGATTTACAATACAGAATATTCCCTATTCTGTATTTCATTTCTCGAAAATGACTGCATGGTATTGTATACTGCATCATCTTCCTGTGAGGGCAAAGGAGAATTCAAATGTTAACGTAAGTTCAAACTTTAACTCCTCACATCTTGTTCTTTCGTTTCTGGTACTTAGTCACCATGTCTTGTAAACTAGAGGTGGGAGGGAAATGAGACACGAACATAAAAAAAACAAGAAGCAGAAATAAGTGAGCGTCTTAAAAACACAGCTTGAGATTGAATATTTATCATGTCTGGTGTAAAGGTTTCTAGCGCTACATATTGCTCAAGATGTTTACCCAGAATTCTGACCTTTTGCTGACTTCTGCTCTGTGTAACCCTTACGAAGTGAGAGTGTGGCGCTATTTCCTGTTATTTGGGTGACTGAAATTCTTCTACACACATAAACGAGCAAATAAACTCAGCTCTGCGCAGTAAGGTGCAGGTCACTGAGAGAAGCGGAGCGGCGTGGAATGAGGCTGAACGGAGATTACTTCCTCTGACTGATGAGAACAAGTACATAAAAAAGGAGCTCCAAATTATGTGCGGCAGTTTTCGAGGCATAAATATTTAAGAGAGTGTGAATAAGAGATGACTGAGACTGAGACTGGCTCGCTGATTGCTGTCTCCAAAAGCTCAGTGAACAGTGCATTCATCCAGATAGTGTCTTCTCTCTTTTTCTATCTCTTTTTTACCCACTTATACACATGAAGAAGCTCTCCTGAAGTATGCATTAAATAAAGACTCCTCAAAGCAGCAAGTGTTACCTGTTGATGAGATCCTCATTGTCATCACTCTCCATCTCATCCTCAATAGCAGCCTGGAGGTCTCCGATCCTCTTGAAGGCCAGCTTGAGATCCGCCTGGAGACTCTGGTTGGCCGCTTCCAAACTCTCAATATCCATTTCCTGAAGAGACAGGGTTAGATTTCAGTCTAACTAAGAGGCACTCGTTTCTGCCTATTTCTACATTTAGATTACTTTTGCTATGGTCATTTAACATTCCCATAAAGGTATTATTAAAAAACAGTAATAATTTAAGAACACTGTTAAATGTAATCTTTTATGAATCTTAGAGTGAATATCCATTTTTCTCACGGTACATCAGTGTTGTTACTGTTAACTAAAATATCAAAAAGCTGAAAAAATATAAATATTAGATAAAAAATATTTGATACATAGTCACCATAATCTTAAACTCAAAAAAATTTAAATGTTACATGGCAACTAAATTTAAAAATTAAAAAAATAAAGTTTAAGAATTAAAATTACTAATACTAACGCAAAAATAAAAATAAATTAAAACTGAATAGAAATATTAAAAAAATAAACTAATAAAAATGAACTAAATGAAAATGAAAATATAAAAATAAAAGATCATTCAAAATATTAATAAATACTATACAAGTATATAAATAATACTAAAATAACAGCTGTACATTCAAATTAAATTTAAATTTTGTGATGCCTAAATCAATTTGTAGTATTAGTATAATGAAACAATGTTTCTATTGTTTTGGGGGGGGGTTTTAAGACAAAATGTAATAGAAAATAGAATTTTAATTAGCCATTTATTGATTATTGGCCAAAATAATTAGTAGCTAGACTGTATTAGCCAGAATTTTAATATCAGTGCATCTTTAGCAAATCATGATTTATTTATTTAATTGTTTGTTTGTTTGTTTATTTATTTTGTAACTGACTCTTCTTTAAATATTCAATTCGCATAAATTCAGTTGTGAAAAACAGAACACATCTATCAAAATGTAATAATTCATACATTTGTTCCATTATTTTCTATATCTGAATTGGCAAAGTAAAATTCTGCATTCATCAGCCATGGTGGCCATTTTTGACCCTGATCCGTGAGGTCAGGCACTATTGTCGGTGGACTCGCTGTTCCTATTCATCCCAATGGGGTTCAGGTCTGAACTTTATGAAGGCCAATCAATTTCTTTCTCACCACCAGACTTAGTAAATCATTTCTTCATGGACCTCATATCATGCTGGAAGAGAAAAGAGCCCTCTTCAAACTGTTGCCAAAATGTTGCACACCATGTTTTTAGAATGTCACTGTATGCTATAATTTTACGATCTGTCTGGAATTAAGAGGTTTAATCAAACCTGTTATCTAGAGGGTCCATTTCTGCTTTCATCACATGCTTAAAGGGATAGTTCACTCAAAAATTAAAATTGCAATCATTTATTCCCCTTATGTAATTCCAAATCTGGAATATAAAAGAAGATATTCTGAGAAAAAGTCTCCGTGTTTTTTGTCCATACAATGGAAGTCAACAGGCTTTAATGTTCCTACCATTCCTCAAAATATCTTCTTTTATGTTCTGCAGAGGAAAGTAGTCAAACCGGTTTGGAGTGACATGAGGTTGAGTAAACAATAACATAACTTTGTTTTTTGGGTGCACTATCCCTTCAAGACACTTCAGAATGAGAACTTCAGTGACGCAGAACAGCAGATCAGGCTTCTCACCAGCTCGTGTTTCTTGCGGCTGGCTTCCGCTTCCTTCTTGGCCAGCTCGGCCATCTCCTCCTTGACGTCTCGGATCTGCCTCAGGAGGCGCTTGTTCTGCTCTTTCTCCCGGTTCTCACTGGCACTGCGTTGGTCTCGTTCCTCAGTCAACTTCTCGAGATTCTCTTTCAGCCTCGCTACAAGGCTCTGCAGAAGACATAATCATTTATTTAACACATATACGGAGCAATAACATGCACCATCGCTTAAGTGTTTCTGGACCCACGGTGGTTGTTTACAGAATCCTGCAAGTCTAGCACTGAAATATGCAAGATTGTCAAGCTATCCATATGGTGTGAAACTCCAAATAACATCCACAGCAACTTTTCTGTGATTTTTCACACCAAAGGTGGGCTGCGCTGGCATCGAAACAGAAATATCTACAGATTAGGAAAACAGACATTCTTTACAGCTTTGGATGGGCATGGTTTAAACAAGCTGCCTCTAGAGATAACATTGCCCAAGCCTGAACTAAGCTATACGTCCAACAAATCAGTAATAACAGCGCTTTTAAATGGCTTCTGTTGACAGATTTTGGTGTGGGCGCAGTAGACGTTTGTATTTTGTGCAGAGTGCTAATTGTAATTCTGCAGGTGAGTGGGAGCACCCAACAGAGATGAACGATGAAGAGGACTGGCGGTTGGAAAATGTCACTTGAGCAAAAAAAAACATCAAATCAAACAATACAAAACGCTGAAATAATGTGCATTAGAGGAAACACATTAATTACACTAGTTGTGTACAATGCAAAAACCGATGACCCGCTGCCTCCGGCAACATAAAATATCACACATGAAATGAAATGTACATTTCCTCTTTAAAAGTGGGACTGACACTGTTGATTTGAAAAACACAGAGGGGGTTGGAAATATTCCACATTCAATTCATAGTGAAATTTTTTGGTGGAGAATTGTAAAACACTTTTAGTACAAAGGTTAAAGGTCTATAAAGCGTGGACCAATGGGGAAGGCCTTGTGGGTGTGTAGATTAATTTCACCCTTATCTGACACTTCAATGCCTGCGCGCTGACCTTTTGACACTTCCAGCATCCCACATAAACGCATGCATCTTGCCAACTCACCTCCAAGCGTTTGACCTGTGTCTTCTCGAACTCCAGCTTGGTCTCCAGCTCACGGATCTTGGCCTCCTGCCGGCTGACCAGAGACTTGTCCACCATGGACTGCTCTTGGAACTCTAGCTGACTCTGCAGGGCTGTGAGCTGCCAAACACACACATACGGAGTGAGAATTCACACAAATACACTGAGAAAGGACAGCAATCTGTATTTCATGGAAATACTGAATATAACTATTACCTGCTGAGCAATGACTCAAAGAGACAAAGCCCTCACCACCACGGGGTGTCTTTAACGAGGCCTACCTGGTTTCACAGCCTTTAAACCGGCTCTGCCGCTCTACATCGAGTGATAAGTCAAACCCAGTTCAGACCAGAATTGAGGTTCTGATACTTGCTCAATTACACAGGTCTCAAATGCCTCAAATGTCTTATTCAAACCCCATCACTGTGCCATGTCTGCATATAGCCACAGTCGTTTCAAAGAGTGAAAATATTCTGTGCTAAGAATAATAATTTTTCTGAATACATAGTTGGCCTAATAGAGTTGTTGAGCAAATTATTCAACTTTGAGATTTGTGAGGAGGAAACAAACTGTTCCCTACAATATGGGACATTAAATTGGCAAAGAGAGTGTAAAGAGTACAGAATCTGATGCTGAGAGTGCAGTGTCAAATGCTGAGAGGGGAAGACTGATTCTATAATTAAAGAGTTAAATACTGAGAGACAGGGGTGGAGCACCAAATGTTGGGTCCCAGTCACACAACCAAGAAGATGGGCCCCTCACAACACAACACCTCATCTATCATATTAATAATAATAATCATTATATCATTATGGGCCACCCCCTCGCCAAGGGCCCCGGTTACTCAGTTCCACTATTACCAGAGAGGCGGAGTCTGAGCCTATAATTAAAGATTCAAATGCTGAGGGGGTGGAGTCTGATTCCATCATTAAAGAGTCAACAGTTGAGGGGGTGGAGTCTGTTCATATATTTAAAGATTCTGAGTTGAAAACAGAAAGATTCTGTAAAGATTCGAAGTCTGATTCCATAATTAAAGTCAACTGTTGAGGGGGTGGAGTCTGTTAATATCATTAAAGATTCAAATGCTGAGGGGGTGGAGTCTGATTCCATCATTAAAGAGTCAACGGTTGAGAGGGTTGGAGTCTGAGCCTATCATTAAAGATTCAAATGCTGAGGGGGCGGAGTCTGGCCAAATAATTAAAGATTCAAATACTGAGGGGTGGAGTCTGTTCATATCATTAAAAAGCCAAATGGTAAGGGGGCGGAGTCTGATTCTACATTAAAAAGTTAAATGCTTAGGGCAGAGTCTGATCATATAATTAAAGATTCAAATGCTGAGGAAGTGGAGTTTGATCATATCATTAAGAGTCAAATGCACAGGGGGCAGAGTTTGGTCATATAATTAAAGATTCAAATGCTGAGGGGGTGGAGTCTGATTCTACATTAAAAAAGTAAAATGCTAAGGAGGCAGACTGTGATCACATAATTAAAGACTCAAATGCTGAGGAAGTGGAGTCTGATCCTATCATTGAAGAGTCAATGGCTGAAAGGGGCAGAGTTTGGTCATATCATTAATAAAGAGTCGAATGACCTTAGCTCACCTTAGACAGAAATAAATCAATACAGTAGCTGAATTATGCTTAAGTCCACTTAGGATGTACTCTAAGAATGCAAGTAACAGTGTTGACTTTGTGAATATGCATTTCTGTATGGATGCTAAAGTGAATTCACCTTCTCCTGGACGTTCTGTTTCTCCTTCAAGGCCTCCTCCAGCTGGGCCTGCAGGTCACTGATCTGGGCCAGGTTCTGTGTGGACTGCACAAGAACACACCACAGAGGGGTCAGAGTCTTCTATACATCACAGGAAAACCTGAACCTACAGTCCCTTCATATTTATCCAAAGTCATTTGTCATGCTTTATACTTGATATCTTTAATGGTGCACATTTTCTGTATGAAAGTATGAAATATACAAATGACTTAAATAGAAGATCGGTTGTTGTGGGGAATTTTGCATTGTTTATAAAGATGGACTACATTTTCTTTATTCTATTGATGAATACTGTACGGTATACCATTTTAAAAAAACAGCATGTAGAGAACATGCCAAAGAAGTGGGAAATATGCACTATGATCATATGTTATTTTGGTGATATATCTTACAGCATACTGCAAACCATTTAACTACTGACAGACAAGCAATCTTATGGTCTGTTAATGACATCTCAGAGAAAAATGGCAGCAATAATTGGCATGTTAACAGAAGCATGAGTGAAATGAAGCGGAGAGAGAGTTAACTACGAGACTGTCTAAATGCCTCAAGTATGATTGTGACTGTGTTTCAAAACCTGTGCAGTGTTCCCATAAATGAACCATAGAGCTGGTGAAGTAAACCCAGGGGAATAGGGCTGTTCCATTGGAGAGGATCTGTTTACTTAGGGTCTGTGAAGACACATCACTCATCTCTACATCGCTGCCATAGCAGCATGCTGTGTTTAAAACACTCTTAATGACAATCAACCCACGCGCTCAAATACACGACAATCGCTGCAGTGACACCTTCACACTGGCACGAGCGACCAATCAAAAAGAGAAATACAAAGTGGTCTATCCGTACACGCTAAATGATGCTGTCGATTTGATTTGCATGATGGAAGCATGTTGCAGAGAAACAGCAATGAATCATACTGGAAAATGTCAAATATGCTGAAATGATGTAGCATGCAATATGCACGGTGTCAAAAACTATATAATCAAAAAGGACAACACAACTGTGAATAAAAATGCTGTTTAGGCCTGTTTCACACTGCTCTTGCTATGCAATAGCACTCTGCTTGCTGTGAATACTGTAACCTGTGAAATATAGCTTCGTGAAACATGTGCATTGTGAAAAATGCCTCATATATATATATAATTAAAATAGATTTAATTAAATGTTATTTAATTTGATGTATAATTTCTTAAACAATATTTTACTCAATATTTCAATATTTATATTAAATTTTTAGGATACAAAAACAAACAAATGTACATACACGTACATGTACATCTACTCTGTGTGCAATGATGACAGAGAGGCTCTGTATAGCGATCTGACAAGCATGAGTGCCTGAGAGAGTTACCTGGGCAACAGCGGCTTTGTGTTTCTTCATGAGTTCGTTTATGTCCTCCAGATCCTCCTCCATGCGAGACTGCAGGTCATTCTTCTCCCTCTGCAATCGACTCAGCTGCTCCTCAAGCTATATGGAAATCAAACAAAAGCATGAGACAAACACAAATATGACTGCAAATTGAAATAAAAAATGTCTGAGAAATGGAAAACAATCAATCTGATTGAAATTCTTGACGTTTTAGCAGGTCTTAAGTTTATGCATCAGGAACTGATTGGGTGCCAGAATGTTTTTTTTAGCTATTTTTATTGATAAAGACAGCAGCGAATAGGCCACAGACTCAACGCAGTCAGACTCAAACCTCTGCCCTATGCATGTCAGGAACATACGCATGTAACCATTCTGACTTCAGCAACTGAAAGCCCAGCTCCTTTAATTCCTAAAAGAGATAATTTTCCTGTCACTACGTCACTAAACAGTAGCTGCATGCATTGTATTGTATTGCCTGAGAACACAGCACCGTCTCCCAATTAGAGATGAACATTTCACTGCCTGCTCTGTCAAACAGTATCAGAGGTCAATAATAATTATCTCAACAATACAGGCAGCTAATCTCTGAGGAGTAACTTTCAAATGTATTAGTAAAAGCAAAAAATTTAGACGTCACACATTACTTATGAATTAGTGAGCATAAAAGCAGGAAATTACATTATTTTGTAAAAACATCCTCATGAAAGCAGTTTGCAATTTCTTTCACACATTCCATCTCTTTAACAAATCAAGACAAATGAATTAAAATGAAAGGGGTTATATTCTGCACTTTTTAAAATAATTTTACTTGTTTCCCTATTATGCACCAAAAATATCACCATTTTTACCCTCTTTGATCAAAAACAGACTCCTACTGTTTTTCTTTAAAAGGCCTAAAAGTGAATGACTTGGTTAATCTCACTAAATGTGAAAATTGCCTTATAAAATAGTTTGGGATCAGGAAGATTTTTTTAATTAATCATTTTATGCAGCAAGCACACATTAAATTGATTTGAAGTGACAGTAAATATGTTATAATATTATTTTTAATATTACAAAAGATTTTTATTTCAAATAAATGCTGTTCTTTTGAAATTTCGATTCATCACAGAATCCTGGAAAAAATGTATCATGGTTACCACAAATATATTAGGCAGCACAACTGTTTTCAACATTGATTTAAATTGTAATAATGTTTTACAGTATTACTGTTTTTACTGCATTTCTGATCAAATAAATACAGCCTAGATTATCAAAAACATTAAAAAAATAAATCTTACTAGGCCCAAACTTCGGAACAGTATAAAGTAGAATAAATTACATTTGGTAATGCATTCAAATAGAAAAGAGCTGTTGTTAATTGTAATAATATTTCACAATATTACAGTTTTTTAAATTTCAGTCTTGGTGAGCATAAGAGACTTCTTTAAAAAGTTTAAAATCGCACAACCTCCAACTGAACAGTAGTGTGAATGTTTGTGGCCATATGATAGTGTGCTTGTGGTAATGGCATCAATATTATGATGATTTCTCAATAACCCATTTTTTAAGTTTTCATAAATGACATACATGGACTGGCTTTGCAGGATTATGCCTACATATAAATGAAAATCCAGTTCTCTTTTAACACAAGATACTGCTAAAAGATATTCCCTATGGTCTGTACTGTTCCATTTCACACCTTTAAACTCTGTCTGGCAGGTGTATTGTATCAAACCTATGTGCCACCTTCAAATCCTCTAGTGGAAATCCATGAGCTCCCGGGGAGGGGTGACAGACAGACCTGAAGCTAATCACACAGTGATCATGACCAGACCATTTATCACGGCCTTGCTAATCAATATGACAATATTTAGAAGAGAGACGGGTTTAGCAATGCCCACAAAAACACTGCACCAAAACAATGCTTCAGCGTGGCTGCGGCTTTATAGAAAATTAAAATGTTCACTGCACCCTTCTGTCAGAGTGTCTCTTGCTCCAGAGAGCTGAGCAAATATGACAGGCGGCGAAACAATATGGAGACCGTGTCAGGGGAACAGCATCTGCAGAATTTGGCTGCATCCGTCTCTCCTGATATCACTTCATAATACGCTACAGCGAGGACACAATTACACAATTTTCTCCACGCTGAAATAACACTGAATCAATGACAGATTTATAAAAGTGTAATACATTTCACGCCGATACATCCTGTTCAAATTAGAGCCGACATCGGAAACGTGCCATTATGGGCGGAAATCATTTCCCCGCGGTAAATAATTGAAATGACATCCTGGCTGCCACCTATGGTGGATGAAGACAGGTAGTGTCCTTTGTCTCTGTGTGTGAGATGACTCTAACATAAAAGAAGCAAAACGACTCGGTTTTGTTCTTTTTCAAACACAGACAGACTTACCGCCTGCTTGGATTTAGATATGTCATCCATTTGGACATGGAGGTCCTCGATCTCCACTTCCATTGACTTTCGGGCTTTGACTGCAGCAGCACATGTGAACTCTGATTCCTCGAGCTGTGAAGAGCACACACACACATAAATAAAATGTATGTTCATGACTGGATGTCATATATGATGTGTTAACTACAGAACCCAGGGGAGCCGAAGAACAGACCTGGTTCTTGAGCTGAGCGATCTCTCTCTTGCTGGGAGCATTGTTCTTCAGGTGATCCAGCATGATCTGGGCATCAGCCAACAAGGCCTTTGTGCGCTTCAGGTCCTTCCTCAGACGCTTTTCTGTTTCCACATCTCTGTGGCTCACCTGAAAACACCAAAGACAGTTTATATACTGGCTATATATAAATATACGCTTTAAGCAAGTTATTTGAGGAAAATGCAGAAACATTTTATTTTTGTGACTGTACTGTACATAACCTTCACAAAGTGAATTATTTGTTAATTTAATTTTATATTTTTTATTTATATTTTATTTTTCATAGTAGGTACACTACACATCCATATTTTTTAATTTTGCTTCTTATATTAATTAGAATCTTCTTATATATATTTTTTTTAAATGTTTTTTTTTTTTTCATTTGAATGTCGCAAGTAATCTTAAAAAAAAAAAAGTGTTTTGTTATCCCGGTGGATAAACAAAAAAATTACTTTATTTACATGATTTGCTCAACTAGTGCTAAACCAGAAGTTTGGCGATGATTTGGAATTACCCCAAAAGTGTGAAATGAGTTATTAGCATTTTTGGTCTGTGATTTACAGAAAGATGTTACATTTTAAATGTGTATACAGTACTGTTTAAAAGTCTGGGGTTGGTAAGATTTTTTTTTATGTTTCTGAAAGCTTGTATGCTCACCAGGGCTGCATTTGTTTGATTAAAAAAAAAAAACAGTAATATTGTAAAATATTATTACAATCAAATGTAATTTATTCCTGTGAGGGCAAAGCTGAATTTTCAGCACCCATTACTCCAGTTTTCAATGTCACATGAACCTTCACAAATCATCTAATTATCTTATACATTTTTAATTGGATTCTTTCTATTCTTATAAATATAAAGTTAAAAAGAATTAAGCATTTGTTTGAAATAGAAATCTTTTAGAACATTATAAATGTCTTTACTGTCACTTTTGATCAATTTAATGCACCCCTGTTGCATAAAAGTACTATTATCTTTAAAAAAAAAAATTGTATTGACCACAAACTTACAAAACATTTAATTTTGGTTCTTTAAACAAAGTCTGTCAAAAATAAGTGAATAAAAACTAAATAAATTAAATAAAATAAAAATTACAAAATGACAAAAATTCACTTAGGTGATATGCAAGCTTGTACATATTTATTTAAGATGTGCTAGTTATCATATTTTAAACCATATTTCAAATTTTGATATAGTACAGTATACAGTAAGTTGAGTGCTGTACCTGGTCTTGAGCGCTCATCAGCTTGGCTTCCAGGTCTCTCCTCTCCCGCAAGACCTTCTGCTTCTCTTCATACTCCTCCTCCAGCTGCACCTCCATTTGCTTGAGCTGCTCACACACAAGCATAGTAACAGAACATCATGGAGGGCTTTGTGAAGTAGGTTTGCCCTGAAGAGTCAAACCAATTATATACCATCATACCAGACATATAAACACATTCGCTAAATGTGTCTTTAGATGCTTCTGAGCACCTTCAAGTGTCAATCAAGGCACTCAGTTGTGAGAAAGAAGGGTAATTATGGGGTGCACTGTACTGGCAGCTTGATTGGTTAAGTGGAGAGGAGGGAAATGTGAACTATACGTGAGGAAAATAAAATAGCGGCCCCCATGAATTATACATCAAAACAAAACTCAATGAGTTCAGCTTATCTGCACCTCAGCGGCAAAGACACTCCACAAATGTGAAAGCGGCTATCTGCAACAAGAGCTGCGCTGAACAACGCTGAATGGACATTCTTATTCAACACATGACCGAATATGTCTTGTTTATTTATGTTGTACAGGAGTTGAAACGAGCTCTGCATAAGAACTGAACATCAGCAATTAAAAAGTTATAAATTGAACACTCTGCAAAGTACACACAAATTATGTAAACACAAACGTTTAATTTGGACGTGATTAATCGATTTGACAGCACTAATAATAATAATAATAATAATAATAATAACAACACTAAACGTTTTGATAATATAGTAACGCATTAGTTAACAGTACAGTAAAATATTTCACTTCATACTAATATTTACTGTAAAAAAAAATGTATGTAATACATATATTACCTAAAATTAATATTAATAGTATAACAGCTGGTTGGCTGTATCATACCTTCTTGCTGCAGGACTGTCTGATCTCCTCCACCTCGTCGTATTCACCTGAACTTCTGAAACCAGTTGTAAAGTATTCTGAGCATGTTTAAGTGGTGTTAGCTGGTGACTTGTACATGTGTATGGGAGCTCTAAAGGCTATTATAAAAAAAAATTACACATATATATACATATATACATATATATCTCTCTATCTCTTTCGAATGCGTCTGTCTCAGTCTCTCCATCTCCATCTCCAGACGGAGCTTGGCCTGCAGGTCACAACATCAACAGCTCAGTGAATACAAATCCACACCTTCTGCAAGCATACATGCATTGGAATCCAGTGGAACAGGCGCTATATGCATACAGATGCATATGCAAAATATCCCTGTCGCACAGGCCAATAAAACTCTTTGTAATTATTATTATAATGTATGCAGACTGTGAGTATTGACAGTTTCTTCATACCGACACATCAGCTGAATTTACATGAATTAGCATATTACGCATGACAGGTGAAAATTGTGTGCATGGAGAATGTGCATCATTCCAAGAAATAATACGTTAAACATCAGGCAGCTCAATCCAATCTATATCCTTATTCTCATTACATGATGTCACGAGTGTACAGCTGGTTGGATTGTGGCGTGTGTGCATGGGTTTACTTAGACAAAGTTTGAAAACAAAATTGTTGCAAAAGTTAGTGAAAATGAATAAAGTTCTGACCAAGATTGAAAAAGTGTGATAGTGTGTGAGTTTGATTACCTGCTCCAGCATCTGAATGGTTCCAGCCTGTTCATCAAGCTCTTCTTCTTGATCTTTGACCTTTGCCTCAAGGTCACGAAGCTGCTTTTTAACCTTGGCCAGTGATGCTTCATCCTTTGTCTCCTGTGAGTTCAGATCTTGAAGCTCTGCCTCCATTTGCTCGAGCTTCAGATTGACAGCACATATCTCCAGATCCTTATCCTGAGAGAGCAGAGAAAAACTCATTTAGAACAACACAGTCTGGACTGAGCACACACGGGTACGTCACAGCCAGGAAAATCTGTGAGTGTGAGACAACAAAGGAGGATGATATAAGAGAGGTTGCTGACCTCCAGTTGTTGTCTAAGGCTAAACACTTCCCCAGTCAGCATGTCTTTCTCTCTGCTCAGTTTCTCCCGCTGACTCTTCTCTCTCTGCACCTCCTCCTGAGCCTGAGTCTGCTCTGAGTCAAACCTGCAGACATTGCATCCACACAAAAACACACACCATCAACAAACTTAATCTTAAAAAAAGAGGAAACAAAGGTACAGACACTTTCCAGATGCTTTACTCTCTCTGTTCCAATGTGGTGGAACGAACTGCCATATTGCACCTGATCTACTGAGACCAAATAAATCACAAATAAATTCCACAAGCACTAAACTACAACCATGATAGCCCTTCATATAATACTAAATATGAAAAAAATTATCCACCTAATTCTTCAACGTGGAAGTAAGCCTATGGGCGAGACTTCCGGTTCATTAGCCGCTATAGGGAAATAACGAGAAGAATTACAACGTGCAGTAAATGATAAACTGTTTGCACTACAAACCAGTGTGTTCAAAATTAAGATAATACCTTAAAATAATATGGTAAGACATATTGCAAGTAATATGCAATATCAAACAGCAAAACGAGCGGTTTTGTACAGCTAAAAATAGCTGGAAGCGAATAAGACCGGAAGCAAGACCCATAACATTTTACAATTGGCCCATTTTTACGGGAAGAATAAGGTGGATAAACAATTGACACTTCGCAAAGACCCACCCCGCTTAGTTACTGTTGCATGTCCAACAAGCCGAATGGCGCTCTCACACCACACATTATGTAAAAATACATCGCAGAGCAAAGAGGACACTGACACTGTGCCAACAGACAAGACAGCTTTCAAATTTTGTAATTTTTTAAGTTCAAACAAGAAATACCATTTTGTGGCTCTTTACTGTACCGTGACAGATCTCTGCAGTTCAAGCAGGACGTGAACTGTTCATCTCTTCCTCTTTACTAGTTATAGCATGAAATAAACATGAATGAACATCAGAAGGTATCTTGTTTCAACCACGGAAAGTCAATACACAAAGTTTTTTAAGTTCAAGTCCACCAACTTTCATCTACTCTCCTGTCTGGTTTGTTTATCGGACAAAATGGCAAACTTGGCATTATGACTGGTCAGACTGCCTGTCAATCAAACTCCTAGCGAAGGGTCCATTAGAATAAAATCACAGGGAAGTTAAAGCGATAGTTCACCCAAATAAGAAAATTGTCATCCTTTACTCACTCATTTTTTCTGTGGAACAAAATTAAGATATTTTAAGGAATTTTGGTAAGCAAACAGTTTTGATTCCCACTGATTTCCACTCTACGGACAAAACACACCAAGACATTAATCAAAATACCTTCTTTAATGCAGCAAAGAAGAAAGTCATAGTTTTAGAATTTTAATTTTTGGGTGAACTATCAAGCTGATGTTACAAATTTTTGAGCCAATGTCAATGGAACCTTTTTTTTCTTTTCTACACTATTTTCATTTATTTTTTTTCAGGGAACAAAGCAAATATTGTTTAACAAATAAATAAATACCCACAACCCACATTAAAATGAAATTTAATAGAAAAAAAAGTGTTATTTTAGAAAGTTTTGTTAGGTATGACAGTTTTTGTCTATGACAGTATACAGTAGTTTATCTATTTCTGCCATTAATAAAAATTTATTTCATACAAGTTGCTGCCATTAAATTGTATATCATGATTACATCTGCCTCCCTGCTTTTTAGATATCAGTATTTGGCATAGAAAAACCCGTATTAGTTGACCACTAGTCAAAATATATACAATACAGCAATTAAAGCGAATTTCTAATTCTTGAATCACTAATCTCTCTAATCACTATAATCAAAGCACAAGTTTAATGTGAAAAAAGGTTTTACCAAAAACAAATAACATGATACAAAACAACAACAAAAAAATAGCATACCTGCTTTTCCTAAAATAGCCAAGCATAGCAGTGTTGAGAAACTAAAATTCATCTAAGCTTTACAGTATTGTGTGTGACTCGTGTGTCAGGAGGGGTATTAGGGAAGAGCGTTCTGATTGGGTTAACTTGCAAGTGGGTAACAATGAGCGAGGAGGGGGGAGTTGTGACGCTTTGGGGCAAATCAGTTTATTCTTTCCTCTTTTCCTAGTTCTCTCTTGTTCTCCACCCCCTTCTCTCCGAGGCCCTGTTATGATCCCATAAATGAGTCTTATGCAACTCTTTGTGTTGATCCGAGCCCCACAGAGAGATGAAGGACCGCTCTCCTTGCCCTCCCCCATCTCTCCTACTGGCTAAATATGCCGTCACCCTGAGCCTCGGGCCGATCATTTCATTTAGAGTGGACTTTCACACATCCCCTCCGCAGTGGCATGCACAGCCTCTGCCTGTTTACTCAAGAATCTAAAGAGACTTAGCTGCAGCACCTTCACACACCACCATCACTCTGCTTACAGCCTTCTGGCTCGGAGTAATAGTCTTACAGATTTAATTTTGAGATGCTTGTTACTGAGGCACTGTTGGACTATTCTTAAGGCTTGTTCACACCAAGGATGAAAACTGTAACTATAATTGTTCTAATTCTATGAGAGTAGAGAAGTCCACACCACAACTACAACAATAATGGCACAGAGAAACAATATCACTGGATTTTTTTCAGAACAATTTTTCCAGCTGACAAACGATGAATACATTGAAAGCCGATAAGAATCCACCCAGCTTTTGTGCATTTAAAGCAGCAGACAACATAACTGCAGTGCACGCTTATAATATACATAACTTTATTTTCTGTTGGTGTGGACACTAAAATAATTATCTTTATAGTTATCATTTTTGGTGTAAACAGGCCTTACTCACACTTCCATCGTCAAGTAATTCTACTGTCCTCAAAGTTGCTGTGTGAAACAAACCACCAAAAAAATCTGACGATTAACAAACTAGAGTAAGATTTTTAAAAATATATAGATTTTCCAATTTATTGTGATCTTCATTTGATAGAGATCTTTAAAATCCTAAGGTGTTTTTTTTTTAGTCAATACCTATTTTCAGTAGATGTGTTTTGCAAGATTAACTCATTCAACCACACAGCGTAGACTGTGTTGTTGTTTAAAATTATTTTTTCATGATATTCCAAGTTAGAAGGTTGGCAAAAGAAATCATAGTTGTGAATGCTTGCAGTCTGTATTGAATGTGATTCAATAAAAAGATTGTGTACAGCGATAACAGCAAGAAACGTATTTGTATTGTCTAACAAACATAACACGACCAGTGTAGTCTGATTCACATAATAATTACTCTTATCAGAGTTCTTTTAATAAAGGGCTCAAATAAAGAGCTTACCGGTTTGAATCAGTTTGGAAAACTCTTCTGTATAATTTACAGCCTTAGCAGAAAGAGAATTTCTTTCAGTATGTTTCTTTCAAGCAAACGGTCATCATAACGTAAATGCACCCCAAGGAATCATAATGAAATAACACTGAAATGGAACTGAGAGCCTGTGAATCAGAATCGAATCAAATCCACAAATCTGTACTGATTCCCATCATTATAGCATACAGTTATGAAGAACAGGATTTTGGGCCAATGAAATTCCACTTTGGGTGGGAACATACGAGCACCAAAATATCTTGCTGCTCCATGAAATATCCATTTCTTAACTCTTGATAGTAAATCTTTATCTAGTCTGACTCACTTTCGCTGTTTTTTCTCCAGGTCGTGGTTGCGGCTCTGCTGCCCCTCCAGGTGCAGTTTGGTGTCCTGCAGCTCGGCTGTCAGTCTCTGACATTTCTTCTTCAGCTGCTGCGCCACGCGCTGCACCTCTTCATTGTCCGCCTGCAGGTCTGTCAGCTAAACACACAGATTCTCAGTGAGTCTGTACAGGTGGATCTGTCCATCCAGTGTGTGTCTTGTCTAGATGTATGAGTTTCAGCTAATACATTCAAGCTTGAGACAGTACATGCTGTTGTGTTGGACCACACTGCCAATACGAGTGAAGTCTGAGTCTTTATGATGTGTTGGTTGGTTTGGTAGAATAAAGTCAGAAGGGATGTTGGAAGGGATACTGATTTCCACAATTAAATGAAAATAATAAAACAAAACAAAACTAATATCTGATAACATATGAAACCGATATTGTGTACCAGACCAGAGCCGTCAGCTTTCGTGTGTGTAAAAATGTTATTTGCGTGTCTAAGACAGCCTTACCTTTCTCTCCAGCTGCCTCTTGTTTTGCTGCTCCACCTCTAGTTTGTCATCGAACTCTTGCTGGAGTCTCTTCTTGGTAAACTCGATCTCTCTGATGGCTCTCTCATACTTGAGCCTCCATTCTCCTCCTGAAAACACAGTCAGCGATGATTAAGGCCACACAATTCATTGTGAAATGCCCTCCGCTGTAAAAGGCTGTTATTTCATTAAATAAATATGTCAGTGCTTCAAAGCGAAGTGGCGGCACTCTTTTGTCTGCTGCACATAGCCCAAGTACTCTATCTCAACAGGTTCAGTGCACTTGTAGTTTGTGGTGCAATTAGAGATGTCAGATGCCGATCATAAAGCAGTTAAATCATATTATTTGGAATCATAATTGCAATATGATTTTTGAGATGAAACACTGCATGCCAGATTGTCCGAGGTCATTCCCTAAAGAGAGCCAAGGTTTAAACTATGGACCTCTGCCAGGGAAATTTCACTGCAATCCTTTTGATTATGGCTCACACAAAATCCCATTCTGTGACTTTGACAGATATATAACAAACTGGGGGAAAAAATGCAAATATACACAACTTAATAAATCAAAGCAGAAAAATGAAATGCTCTGAAACCTAGATATGAGAGGTGGCTTTAGCGATGGCATGCAGAATGGAGCCAATCCACGTCACCATTAGAGAAGGTAATTGCTGGAAAGGGAATAAATCAAATGTCCGTGGATTAGCATTAAGCCTTAGAGATCAGCTGCATGACACAGAGGTGAGAACAAGCAGTCACCAGTCTGACACATGCATTTAAATGAGCTCAGTTCATGACAGCAGTGATTCTAAGAACAGCACTACTGAGTATGATCACGGTCAGGCTTTCATAGAGAACAACATGAGAAGAAATAGGAAGGACTGAGGAATAAGTAAGAGTAAGTGTGTGTATGTTGAGGGGAGAAAGAGAGACACTGAGAAAAAACATTTTCCAGGAATAGGGTGTAAAATATGGCCTAAAGTAATTATTTCCCTTTTCATCAAATTTATAGTGAAAGGAAGTGCTTAACCCTCAGAAATACTGATCATCAACCTCAGATCATCAAGGTAAACTGACAACTAAGCCAGACGGTTATATTTTATTTTTTATATAACATTTGCGATTTGTGCAATTTTTCCAAAGAATAGCATTTGAAACTAAATACATATTCATATTTTAATACATTCTAATAGTAAACTACAACAATAATAGGCTAAATACACTAGCGTTCAAACATCTATTGTTGACAAGACTTTTTAGTGAGCATTAAGGTCTTTGCACACCGAATCTGAAATTCTCATCCGAAATTTTCACACGTTATAAAAATAAATACGACCTCACGTTGTGTCAATCACGTTTACACACTGCCTCCGAAACTTTAGTCCGTCATAAAAACATTCGAGATCAGGTTTGATTTTCTGCGTTTTCAAATCCGTAGCAAGCATTTTGATAGGAAAGGATGACGAATACAGAAAAACTAAAAAAAACATACGAAAATTTCGGACTCAGTGTGCAAGGACCTTTAGTCTCCAACGACTACCAAAAATAAAAATGTTAAATAACCTTTTTCTATTTTAATAGATTTTAAAATGTTCCTGTAATGGCGAAGCCAAATTTTTAGAAGCCATTACTCCAGTCTTCAGTGTCACATGATTCTTCTGAAATCATTCTAATATGCTGATTTGCTGCACTAGAAACATTTCTTAATATTATAAATGCAAAAAACAGCTGTTTTTTTCAGGAAACGTATTTGAAAATATATTTGAAATATAAAGTTTTTTTTTTCTTTACTGACACTTTTGCACTCCAAGAACAGGGTTGAAAACCACTGTTCTATAGAAAAAAAATTTAATCCGTAACAGGGTTTAAAATTTAAGATATCACTTAGCAGGTTCTAGCTAGTTTGGTGCTAAATGTTGGTTTGCAGTATTTTCTATAATTTAAGAAAAATATTTATTAATATTAAATAACCATTCAACCCGTTTACCAGTTAAGCTTGATGAATGCAGTCAACACTGTAATATTTGTAAAAATGGAAAATTCTAAAAAAATTATTTACTCGTCTTCACATCATGATGCAGAATGGGTCTAGTCTATTCGGCATTACAATTCACAAAATCAGACATGAACAAAGCATTACTTTACTAACTGAATATAAGCTTTAGCAATAGTTTGATGGTAAATCTATTGAATTGTTGGATACAGTCAAGAAGGTAAAAATCTCTTGAGGTGGGCCCAAAAAATGGATCTGATGGGTTTAAAAGTTACTTTTCATGCTAGGTTAATTTTATGTTAGATAGAGTTTTTGTATCTAACAGTTCTCAAAGCAAACCACGTGGATTTTTGTCTCTAATACTTTAAAAAAAATAAAGAGAAACCAAATTTTCCCTCTTCATGGAAAGTTCCAGAAACACAAGTATAAAGGAATGAAAAAGAGCGAGAGAGACAAAGAGAGAGAGATCGTGCGTATGTTTGGTGTTTTCAGTGCCCCCTGGCATTTCCATATAAACAGCTTAATGAGGAGCAGCAGCTCTGATGCTGCAGATTATTTTCTCATTTGTCTGGAGGTGCCACGCTGAAACGCTCAGCACACCTGAAGCTCTCCTCTTCACCAGAGAGTCATGGGCCGCCACACTCATGGAAATCCTCCCAGATAACCCTTCAATTCTGCCAAAACGATTCAGGAAGGCTGTGATAGTTTTCGCTCAAAGCTTTGCTCAAAGCTCAGCCAACGCTCATGAGGGAATCCCTTCACCGAGATGTTTGATTCCAAAATTCCTCCGTCCAGGAAATGACATCACAAACTCACCAGTGTCATCGTCGTCCATTTCCCCGTTGAGCTCTGATGCCCGTATGAGTCGTGCCTCCATCACCTCCATCTCCATAGATTCCATCTGCTTCTTCATAGCGTCAAACTTGGCCTGACATGCAAACACACACACACAGACGCAGAGCACATCAGCTCTCTGTTCTGCAGGGAAATACTCAGACCATCTGCTCACACAGGCAACCTTGAGCCTAAGAGACATATAAAAACTCACACACACACACACACACACTCCAGGCATACAGAGACAAACACCTGCAGTCTCTCGCTCACACACACTATGTCTTTCACATTGATATTTGATATGAGACGACACAATTTGTATACGGCTCACGCTCTGCTTCATGAACTGCATTGTCTGTGCATAGGCAGAAAATATCTATTTCAGGCATGAGGAGATTTCCTCACAGAAAACCATCAAGTCACAACTCCGTTTCTGTTCAGAGGAGTGCGTGTGGTACCTGTAGATCCTTCATGTCTTTCTCGAGCCTCAGTCTCTCCGAGGTCTCGGACTCCAGCAGCTGCGAGGCGGATTCGCCCGTGTTGCGCTCATCGGCGAGCTCTGACGAGAGTTCTGTGATCTGAAACACACATATAATGAGCGAACATGAAGTGTGTGACCACGAGATGTGTCAGACATGCTCTATGCAAACTTTAGAGTAGTGTATGAGCTCATCTCACGGACATATGCAGCACTTCACATCTGTATCATCGCTCACATATTTCACACACAGATGATGGATTTTTTTGTAATGTGGTGAGATGGTGACAGCATGAGGTCTGGGTGTCTGTGACTGTGTGTGTATGTGTGTGTGTGTGCGTGAAGGTGTGATTTTGTACACTGATACAATACTGATATATGTATAGAAATAGCCTGATGTAGGAATTTTATTATGGATGCCTTATATTGGACATGTAAATGCAGGGATGCATTACACTTTGGTATCAAATTGACAAAAATGGCAACAAAAAAACCCTAGATATTTGACCCAAAATATGTTTCACATTATGCTTGAATTGTGATGTTATTCTAATAGACCGATCTCTGTTTATAATGCTGGTTGTATTAATTAAACAACATTCAGAAGAAAAAAGCTGTCTGAATACCTTTAGCAGCTTTTACAAGCATTAATGTACAGTATTGTACTGTATCTAAAAATCATGCACTTGCAGATGGTGCCAGTCATTTAATAATTTACTTTCATTAAATTTCCTTTTTTTCCTATTACTGAATGTTTATTTGAATACTTGAGATATTGCTGTAACCTTTTAATTCATTTGTTTTTGTTTTGTTTGTTTTTTACAAAAAAATAAGTTTTTGTTTGCTTGAATAATAAATAATAAAATATATTATATGAAGAATATACATTAAATGTATACTATTTGATTATATTAAATATTATTATCAATACTATATAAATTAATGTAAATCAATTATATTATTTAAATATAAAATATTATTGTATAAAATACTTCAATAACGTTTTCTTGAATAATTAATTTTATGGCATTGTTTTTTTTTGGTTAATATTTGTATTAACATGTATTTTTTAAACAAAAGGGGTTATGTTAATTATTATAACCCCATACATTTTTGCTGTTAACTTGAATTATTTATTTAAATGTAACCAATTTTATTTGTTGATATTTATACTAACATGTAACTTCTTCAATAAAACATACTAATTAGTGTAATTCCATTCATTTTTGCTGTTATCACAAATTTCTAATCTGGAATCATGAAACACCATTGGCACTGCTTACTGAAACATTGGTATTTGGTATGTGATAAACTTGTAAACTTTAGTTTCTTTATTTATTCAATTTGAATTGAATCTGAACTGAATTTGAAGTCAATCTCAATTTAATTTAAAGTGAATTGAATTTCAGCACTAACCTTGCTTTCCAGTCGGTCACTATTGAGTCTCAACTCATTCCTCTCCTTCTCCACTTTCTCCAGCTTCAACTTGAGTTGCTGAATTTCCTCCTAAAAGACAGACAGGCAATCAAAGGAACACAATAATAAGACAGTCAGAAAGATAGGATGACAAAATTCAGCTGATACTGTATGTAGAAAAATGACCACAGACAGACAGACATTCAGACACAATGACAGCCACTATATTTAGCGAAGTATAGAGATAGACAGGTGAGATAAATTAGAACAGAATGACAGACAGGTAGAAACCCTGCCCTATTCTCTGAGTCTCTGCGACTCTGTAACGCAAACCTCCTCCCACTTTCCTAAACTTTTCTTTTGCCAACTTGAGAGAACTGCAGGCTACAGCCAATCGGTTGCAGCTATGAAGGCTGTTTGTGCAGAGGAGACAGTGACTCTGTGTTTGTTTTTTAAAAGCGGGCTGTTTGGAGGCAGTGTCAGCACCCGTCTGTCTCTCGCAGGAGCACGCCTGACTGCATGGCTACACAGGCACTCAGCGGGACGCGGCCCAGCGGACGAAACATGCACGCACGCGCACACGCTCTGTGACATGCTAATGCACTCCCCCGCGGGAAGCAGAGTTGCTTTTGATCCAGCTAGCTACATAGGTAATGTATGCATACACACACAAACACACACAACTCTACAAACACTCGGATTGACATGAAGCCACAGAGACAGTAATCAAAGAGACGGGCGCTTTGGGTGTGACTGAGTGCTGCAGTTGAATTTGAGAGGGACCCCCGCAGGGCGGAGAAACCGAGAGGGACATTAAAAGCCACACAGATGGGCTTTAAATTCAGCTGTGCTATTGTCAAAAGGCAAAACCTGTACATGACATGCCTATTTAGAGCATTTGAAGTGGTTAGCGAAGATGACGGGCGCTTACGTCTTTGCCACGGATCTGTTCCTCTGTAAGCTGAACCTCGATGAGAGGACGGACGGTGGTGAAGAGCTTTAGAGTGATTTGTTCATAAATCAAATTAATAAATTAAAATTACAAATTAATTCAACTTGAGAACTTAGATTTTTCATATTTATAGCATGGCATGAACACACAGTCAGTCATCTCACACATCTCAGTGTGCTACCCACTTATTTCCACTCTAAACTCAGAAAAAAAACCGCCGCTCTACTCCATCAAGTGGACATAAACATGGCTTACATACTAACCCTCAGCAAAACACCCATTACTTGTGTTGATCACAGGAAGAATAAATGGAAAACAAACACATTTTCTTCAATGAGGCCGTCAGAAGGCTATACAGAGGAGTGATTTCTGGATCTGAAAAACAAAGACATTGTGTTTATGACTGCATGTTTTTCCTACTGCTGTGCTTGTGAGAAATTGTCAGGTCTTGTGCTTGTGAAGTACAGTGGTTCAAACCAATCAGAGGCCAGATGGACAATAGCAGGCCTGTGTTTAGAGGCCAGGGCCCCACAGTTAAAGAGCTTTCCTTGGGGAAAACAGCACTGAATGGACCTTTTCAGCTCCAGGACGTCCACAGTATGGTCCGCAATAAGCCTGAGGGTGGGACTATTGACTCTAGGGGTTCCTGGTTTAGGGGTTCCTAAACGCAAGGAACCACCAAGTGAGGTATAACCCCAAAAGCAAGCAAAATGTTTTATAATGAAATATGAGAGAAATATTTATTATTTTAAAACTAAATAATAGTATTTTAAAAATGAATATTTAAAAAAAGTTTAAACTTTGTTATTTAATATAATAATATTTGTAAAAATGGATGTAATATTTACCTTTTTTTTTACATTTTATTTATTACATTGGATAGGCCTACTTAAGTATTTTACAGAATTATCCAATTAAATTAAATTGAATATTTAAGAAGTGTTTAAATGTAATATTAAAAAATTATTTAAAATTAAAAAAATGAATTAATAAATAAATATATATAATTTTTTTAATAGTATTTTCTCTTAATTATTTATTTTAATATTTTATTTATCACACTGGGTAGGGCTACTTATCAATTTCAGAGTGTTATCAAATTAAATTTCATTTCATTTAATATTTAGGAAATATTTAAATTTAATATTAAAACAATTTAAAATAAAAAATAATAAATATACTGTATATTCTTTTTTAATAGTATTTTCTTTTATTGATTTAATTATTCATTTTCATATTTTATTCATCACATTGGGTAGCCCTACTTATCAATTTCAGAGTGTTATCAAATTAAATAAAATTTTATGTTTAGGAAATATTTAAATGTAATCTTTAGAAAAAATTAATTTAATATTTAAAAAAGTTAATTAACAAATACTAATTTTAAAATATTTTATTTTATTTATTTATTTTTACATTTTATTCATTACAGTGGGTAGGTCTACTTATCAATTTCACAGTATTATCATGAGGCTTATGAGAATCTATTAATGAGACTGTGTGTGTGTGTGTGTGTGTAAAATATATATATATGTATGGAG